TAACCAGCCTTTTCATAGCGGACAAACTCCTTGAAAACAGGCACCGTTTAACTGATCTGTGCTCCTTAGGGGCACTTTATACATAAAACGTGCTCAATAAACATTTGTACAACTGAATTGAATAGAGAAGAAGGGGTGAGATTAGCCAGAACTAAATGAGAGAAAAAGTTTGCTCCTACTTTCTTTCCATTTATTTTTTTTAATTGATTTATTTAAATTGAATTTATTGGGGTGACACTGGGTAATAAAATTATATAGTTTCAGGTGCAATTCTATAAACACATCAACTGTGTATTGTGTGTTCACCATCCCGAGTCAAGTCTCTAAATTTATTTATTTTATTTATTTATTTTTAAATATGTCTTTATTGATTTCAGAGAGAGGAAGGGAGAGAAAGAGAGAGAAACATCAATGATGAGAGTCACTGATTGGCTGCCTCCTGCATGCCCCCTACTGGGGATCGAGCCCGAAACCTTGGCATGTGCCCTGACCGGGAATCGAGATCAATCTCCTGGATCCTAGGTCGATGCTCAGCTGCTGAGCCACGCCCAGCGAGGCTAAATTTATTTTTAAGTGTGGTAAAATATATACAACATAATATTTACCACCTGAACCATTTTTAAGTGTACAGTTCAGTAATGTTAAGTATATTCACGTTGTTGTACACACAATCTCCAGAACTTTCCATACCTATGAAACAACTCCCCCCTCCCCCTCCCCCAGCCCTGGCAACCATCATTCTAATTTCTGTTTCTGTAAGTTTGACTACTCTAGATACCTGTGAGTAGAATCATACAGCATTTGTCTTGTTGTGTCTGGCTTAACACACAGCATAATGTCCTGCAGTTTCATCCATCTGTAGCACATGTCACAAGGCTGAATAATATTCTACTGTATGTATAGACCATATTTTGCTTCTCCATTCACCTGTCAATGGATATTTGTGGTGCTTTCACTTTTTGACTATTGTGAATTTTTTCCTATTTCTCAAATCAATGAAAGTATTTTCTTTTAAGTTGATCCAGTTAAGCCTAACTTTTGTCTTGCCTTCTTGGCAGCCTTTTTGAGAAGCAGATGTCAGGGAGCACAGGGAAGTGGCTGTTCAGACACCAGTTCTGTCCATATTATCCTGTGAAATGAGAAAAATCCTTAATCTTAATATTATATTTGTGATCTAGTATTGGCCAATAGCTCCCTCTACCAGTGAATCTGTCAAAAACACTTTATCACACTGTCCAAATGAAAACTGTAGGGAAAACCAGGAACTAGGACTCTCCCAGCCACTCGTGGGGGCCTCCTTCCTAACCATCAATCTGCGTGATGCTGAGTTTTCTTCCTGGGCTTCACCCAGAACATCTTGCGGCAGATTGAATGCAGAAGTATTGTAGGAATCCACTGGTCAGACATCAGGGGATATTGCAACAATGTAGTACCATGTCATTTTTCTCTTTACATTCTTCTCTTTTTATTTTGGAAAAGATAGTTATTTTATATAAAAATGTAAAGTTCTGTTAATATGTTTTGGGTTTATTATATTTAAAAATTATTTTTAAATGTATTTAAATGTTAAGACTTTGTTTTAATTTCTAATATGGTAAATTATGTGATAGATATAATCCATATAAATGTAAGCTTTTGGGGTCCTGAATAATTTTGACATGTGTAAACAGGTGTTGAGACTAAAAGGCTTGAGAACCACTCCTGGAGGAAAAGCCTCAGAGGCAACCCCAATGGGGAAAAGTAAATAAGAGCTCACCGAAATGCTACAGTGCAACCCCTGAGGAGCCCCCGTTTCCACAGCCTGGCCCTGGAAATAAAAACTGGTGCACAGAATCACAAAGCCATGGAGGCATAAAGCTCTTTCTAAGGTGATCTGGAAGGTGGTACACCCCAGCGTGCTTCACTCCTCACTTGCTCAGCAGATACATGTGGAGCACGTGCTGTGGGCAGCCACCAATGATTACAGCATCTACCATTTGAGTGACACCCACGTGCCATTGAACTGGGTGCTGTGAGTCACCTGTGGCATTCAACGCTCACACCACCTAACAGATTATCATGTTACGTACTAGGAAAGAGGCTCCTGTTTGTAACTTGCCCAAAGTCTAGCTGTTTTAAGCAACAGGACTGGGACTGAATGTGAGTCTTTGTAGCTCCTGTTCCTCCCACTAAGCCATGCTGCCTCTCCTATTTCAAACTGTAAGCCAGCAAACCCTCCTAAATTATACACTGCTTAACAAGATAGAGACCTTTACTTCGTAAGATGAGACCTCTGAAAACCAGTTCTAGTTTTAGGATGTAGTTGATTCAGTTATTTCTAATAGAAAAGAATACTTTATTTAATATTTGTGCATGTTTATATATTTGTAATTATTTTTGCGAGACACTGATGTGAGAAACACCAATTGACTGCTCCC